TATGTGCCTATAATTCTAAGCTTCTGGAAGTAGAAGTGGGAAGATCAACAGCTCAAGATCATCGTAGACTACACAGCAAATTCGAGGCCAGACGGCCACGTTACAGCCTGTGTCTAGAGAAAGGAGGGTCTGCGAGAGGACTTGGTGAGTTAAGGTGATTGAGCCGGGTCACTACTGCCCACTTAAGGAGGAGACAGACTTCATAAAGTTGTTCTCTGAGGTCCACACATGCACCATTGTGCATGCCCCCACATATACACATACAAACTTGTAAAAGAAACAAAGGAGGAGGGCTGGAGGAAAGAAAGAAACAGGGGATGGAGAAAAGGAAGGAGTATGTGAGAGATAAAATATGGTCTAAGTAATATCAAAGACAACACATCACACACAAGGTTCTAGGCTACATCATATAACATCACATCCACCCAAACAAAAGTGCATATTAGATACACACAGCATATTTAAGTTAAATGCGCACACACACACTCACACACAGACACGCACGTACTCACAGACACACACGCACGCACTCACACACACACACACACACACACGCACTCACACTGCACACGCACACACACACTCACACACTACACACACTCACACACTACACACACTCACGCACTCTCTCTCTCTCTCTCTCTCTCTCTCTCTCTCTCTCTCTCTCACACACACACACACACACACACAGCCCTATTCAGTCCTTGCCTTCTTTATTCCTCTCGGTTCAGTGTTTGATCAGCAGAGTCATCCCCACTAAACACTGGAGCCACAATCGGGGCAGCCCAGGATACAGGCTCAGACACCCCACCCTACTAGGAGGAGCATAACTGCAGTGGGTGTGCTAGCCTAGAAGTACAGTACTTCTGTACGAAGCTGTAGCCGTCATCACGACCATCCTCTGTGGCCTCCTTATCTCAACACACTGCCCATAGACTACCGATTGGATTTAAACATCTAACAGCATCCGAGGGGGACCTATAACCTGACAAGAAAGGGTGCTGGCACTGCTGGCCCCTGGCCCCCGACAGTCTCTTATTCTCAGAGGATGATGCTGGCCCGGTCTCCAAGGAGCTGGCCAGCTGCCCACTCCCTGTCACAGGACCATCCAGACCCTTAGGCTGTTCTGAGCTGACAAACAGCCCTGATGGCTCTATTCCCCCTGCAGCTGACTCTGGACCCAAATCTGGACTGCTGCTCTGGGGTCTGAGCTGAACTAGACCCTTACTTGTTCTCCTTCAACCCCAAATTTCCTCTTCTTCCCCAGCAAAGATCCTAGACCTCTCAAAATCCCAAGCTTCCTGTCACATGTCCTCAAGTGGGGAGAGCAGGAGGATGCTCACCTTTCTTAGGCAGTATAACATTAAGCTTCTTGGGGACAAGCAAGGATCTGAGTGACACCACACAGTAGTAGATAATCCCATGGTCTCCCGGAGCTGGTTTCAGGGCCAAGGAGCTGGTAACACTGAAGGTGCCATCATCATTCCTCACAGTGGGGCCAGTGATTACACCCTCAGTAATCACTTGGAAATGGGAGTCCTTCAGGCTGTGTCTCTCCCACTTTATGTCAAAGGCTTCTGGGTAGAATCCATCTAGCTTGCATATGAGCCGTTCACCAATTCTCTCTGTAGCTGGTATCACAAAAAATTCTATGGCCGGGTCAGCTGCCAGAGAAAAGAACCACAATTTGGAGTCTGCTGAGATCGCTGGGCTACTCCCACCCCCACTCGGGGCAAAGGTGAACTTCAGCCCTGCATTGGACCCAACTTAGGCCTGCCCACTCTGGGAACTCCTGTCCTGGGGTCTGCAGGCAGGTCGACTTGGCCCCTGAGGATCAGGCAACCCTGAGTCTGCTTACATTGCTGTGCTAGTCCAGCTCCCACCCACCTGGAGAGCGAGTGCCTCAGACCCGTCTGCACCCACTGGAAAAGAAACTGGGACCCATACACACCAGGAGAGGAAGAGACACCACCTGCACCCACTGGAAGAAGAGGTAGGAAGACGACAATATAAGAACACATTCAACAACAGAAAAACCAATATGACACCAGCAGAGTCTAGGGACTCCATTCCAGCAAGACCTGAATATCCCAACACAGATGATGCAGAAGAGAATGACCTTAAAAGCAACTTCGTGAAGATGATAGAGACCCTAAGAGAGGAAATGAGAAAATCCTTCAAAGAAATGGAAGAAAAGACAAACCAAAAATTGCAAGAAACAAATCAAACACTGCAAGGTTTGAAAGCCAAAATAGAGACAATAAGAAAAACAGAGTCTGAGGGAATGCTGGAATTAGAAAAGATGGGTAAATCATCAGAAACTACAGGTGTAAGCATAACCAACAGTATACAAGAGATGGAAGAGAGAATCTCAGATGTTGAAGACACACTAGCAGAAATAGATTCATCGAACAAAGAAAATCTTAAGTCCAACAAATCCCTAACACAAAATATCCAGGAAATATGGGATACAGTGAAAAGACCAAACCTAAGAATAACAGTATAGAAGAAGGTGAAGAAACCCAACTCAAAGGTGCAGAAAACAAATTCAACAAAATCATAGAAGAAAACTTACCCAACCTAAAGAAAGACATGCCAATGAAAGTACAAGAAACCTAGAGAACACCAAATAGAGTGGACCACAAAAAAGTCCACTCATCACATAATAATTAAAACACCAAACATACAGAATAAGGAAAGAATATTAAGAGCCTCAAAGGAAAAAGGCCAAGTAATATATAATGGCAAACCTATCAGAATTATACCTGAATTCTCCGTGGAAACTATGAAATCCAGAAGGTCCTGGATAGATATTCTACCAATAGTAAGAGACTATGGATGCAAGCCCAGACTACTATACCCAGCAAAGCTTTCAATCATTATAGATGGAGAAAACAAGATACTCCACGATAAAAACCAGATTTAAACAATACATAGGCACTAATCCAGCCCTACAGACAGTACTGGAAGGAAAACTCCAACCTAGGAAAGTTAACTACATTCACAAAAACATAGGCAATAGATAATCCCACTTTGCCAAAAGCCAAAAGAAAAAGCAGGGTAAATCCACACACAATACCAACAACAACAACAAATCCAAAACAAACAAGAATAAGCACTCAATAGTCCTGAATTTCCCTCAATATTAATGGTCTTAACTCGCCTATAAAAAGACACAGGCTAACAGAATGGATACAAAGACAGAATCCATCCTTCTGCTGCATACAAGAAACACATCTCAACTTCAAAGACAGACAGTACCTCAGAATAAAGGGTTGGGATAAAATATTCCAATCAAATGAACCCAAGAAACAAGCTGGTATAGCTATCCTAGTATCTAACAAATTAGACATCAAACTAAAATCAATCAAAAGAGATGAAGAAGGGCATTTTATATTCACCACAGGAAAAATCCATCAGGAAGAAGTCTCAATTCTGAACATCTATGCCCCAAATACAAAGGCACCCACGTTCATAAAAGAAACATTATTAAAACTCAAATCACACATAAGACTTCATACAGTTATAATGGGAGAATTCAACACCCCACTCTCACCACTGGACAGGACACCAGAGAGAAACTTAACAAAGAGACAAAGGAACTAACAGAAGTTATGACCCAATTGGGATTAACAGACATCTATAGAACATTCCATCCAAACACAAAATAATATACCTTCTTCTCAGCATCACCTTCTCTAAAATCAACCACATACTTGGTAACATAGCAAACCTACACAGACACAAAAAATTGGAATAACCCCCTATGTCTTACCTTATCAGACCACCATGCTTTAAAGTTAAAATTCAACAATACAAATTGCAGAAAACCTACCAACTCATGGAAATTGAATAATGTGCAATTGCACCATTCCTAGGTCAAGGAAGAAATAAAGAAAGAAAAAAAGACTTCCTAGAATTCAATGAAAATGAAGACACAACATACCCAAACTTATGTGACACTTTGAAAGCAGTGCTAAGAGGAAAGTTCATAGCTCTAAGTGCCCACATGAAGAAACTTGAGAATAGTCACACCAGAGAATTTACAGTACAACTGAAAGCTCTAGAACAAATAGAAGCAAATTCACCCCAGAGGAGTAGACTCCAGAAAATAACCAAACTGAAGGCAGAAATCAATAAAGTTGAAACAAAGAAAACAATTCAAAGAATCAATGTAACAAAGAGTTGGTTCTTCAAGAAAATCAACACGATAGACAAACCTTTATCCAAACTAACCAAAAGGCAGAGACAGAGCATGCAAATTAACAAAATCAGAAATGAAAGGGGGGATATAAAGACAGACACAGAGGAAATCCAGAGAATTTTCAGGTCATACTTTGAAAACCTGTACTCCACGAAATACAAAAATCTAAAGGAAATGGACAATTTTCTGTACAGATATCACTTACCAAAATTGAAGTAAGAACAGATAAGCAACTTAAAAAGACCTATATCCCCTTAGGAAATAGAAGCAGTCATCAAAAGTCTCCCAACCAAAAAAATCCCAGGGCCAGATGGCTTCAGTGCAGAATTCTACCAGAAATTCAAAGAAGAGCTAATACCAATACTCCTCAAATTGTTCCACACAATAGAAGCAGAAGGTTCATTGCCAAACTTTTTTTTACAAGGCTACAATTACCTTGGTACCCAAACCACACAAAGACAAAACTAAGAAAGAGAACTACAGATCAATATCCCTCATGAACATTGACTCATAATACTCAGTAAAATACATTGACTCAAAAATACTCAGTAAAATACTGGCAAACTGAATCCAAGAACATATCAGAAAAATCATCCACCATGATCAAGCAGGCACCATCCCAGGGATGCAGGGTTCATTCAACATACAAAAATCTATCAATGTAATCCACCATATAAACAAACTACAAAAGAAAAATGATCATCTCACTAGATGCTGAAAAAACCCTTGACAAAATCCAACATCCCTTCATGATAAAGGTCCTGGAGAGATCAGGGATAACAGGAACATACCTAAACATAATAAAAAACAATATACAGTAAAACAACAGCTGACATCAAACTAAATGGAGAGAAACTCAACATGATTCCTCTAAAATCAGGAACAAGACAAGGCTGTCCACTCTCTCCATATCTCTTCAATATTGTACTTGAAGTTCTAGCTACAGCAATAAGACAACAAAAGGAGATCAAGGAGATATAAATTGGAAAAGAAGAAGTCAAACTCTCACTATTTACAGATGATACGATAGTTTACATAAGTCACTCAAAAAAACTCTACCAGGGAGCTCCTAAGTGGCAGGATACAAGATCAACTAAAAAAAACAGTAGCCTTACTATATACAGATGAAAAATGAGCTGAGAAAGAAATCAGAGAAACATCACCCTTTACAATAGCCACAAACAATATAAAATATCCTGGGGGTAACACTAACCAAACAAGTGAAAGACCTGTATAGCAAGAACTTTGAGTCTTTAAAGAAAGAAATTAAAGAAGATACCAGAAAATGGAAAGATCTCCCATGCTCTTGGATAGGTAGGATCAACATAGTAAAAATGGAAATCTTGCCAAAAGCAATCTATAGATTGAATGCAATCCCCATCAACATCCCACACAATTCTTCACAGATCTTGAAAGAACAATATTCAACTTTGTATGAAGAAACAAAAGGCCCAGGTAGCCAAAACAACCCTGTACAATAAAGGAACTTCCAGAGGCATCAACATTCCTGATTCCAAGCTATACATGGAACTATAGTAATGAAAACAGCTTGGTATTGGCACAAAAATAGACAGGTAGAGCAATGGAATCAAATTGAAAAATCTGATAATAACTCACATACCTACAAACACCTGATTTCTGACAAAGAAGCTAAAGTTATACAATGGAATAAAGAAAGCATTTCAACAAATGGTGCTGGCATAACTGGATGCTGCCATGTAGAAGACTGCAGATAGATCCATGCCTATTACCATGCACAAAACTAAAGTCTCAATGGATGAAAGACCTCAACATAAATCCAGCCACACTGAACTTATTAGAAGAGAATAATTGAATTGGTACAGGAGACCCTTGAATGAATTGGTACAGGAGACCCCTTCCTGAACATTACACCAGTAACACAGACACTGAGACCGACAATTAATAAATGGGACCTCCTGAAACTGAGAAGC